GGGGGGGGTCAGCATTTCATTCAGAATGCCTCAGGTAAGAGAGTCTGCCAGCTAAATTTCACAAAACCTGTCTGATAAACTCATTCTACAAGCATGGCCTTCTTCGGCTGTCTAACATCCCTGCTGATTGATTTTTTTTGTTGAAGTTTTCTGAGCGCTGCATCTGCTGAGTCAGTATTCTGCAGGTAGCTCGATTTACAGGCAGTTTCACAAGAACGCTCACTGGGCCGTGCATCAAAACAAGCCATTTCAGCAGATAGACGCGGTCAGTCTCGCTTTCCAGAAGTGAAAACACCCTACCTCTCTCAAAGACAACAGCTAACAATATGCAATGACCTACTGACGGTCTGTCACGATAATTCATGAAAGCCTTCAGAGGAAAAAGTACTCAGTTGCAGTCACGTTTTGGGTTTAATGTGCTTTCTTCATTCTTTCTCAATCACAGCCTGTTTTGTTTCCCGCTGCATTGGGTCACCATCGCTTTGACCTGAACTCAAATCTGAATTCAAAAAAGGCATGGAAAATTAGGAGGAAAATTCATATGAATAATGACGGAACAGTCTCATGTCATATTTGCTGATAAGCGGTAAGACAGACGGTAAGGTTTTAATAATTAGATGGCCTGAACAATGGAGTTAACCGCTGGGTTAATGTGTCACAATAAAGCTGTGTTTGGTTGCATGATTTAGAATGGAACCATAAAGATAAAACGGAGCAGGAAAAATTTTTTCCCCTAACCCTAAAACACTAGGCTAAGCTACTAAGCTTCCAGAGAAACACAATAAATTTAAATAAGACTTTAGAAAAAAGTTGGTATGTTGCTGATTTGTTCTACAAAGACTGTAAAAAAAAAAAAAAGATGAATGTGTTATAGTATTGATTTAACAGCATTGTCTCACAAAGTTCAACAAAAAGCACATACCGAAAAAAAAAAATCACCCTTTTTCTGTAACAAAAAAAAAATCATAATACCTAATTTTTCTCATCAGAATGTCTTCAGCATTGTACATAAAACACACCACAACATCATTTTATGAGAACATTTAGATTGCTTTGAGGATGACAGATGTCAATTTTAGACCTTGAACCAAAACAACCGATAAAACCCTTAAAAATGTAATAAAACCCCATAAATATTGTGGCAGTACCATAGTACAGTGATGACACCAAATACTAGGGCTGCACAATTAATCGAATTTCTAATCGCGATTACAATTATGGATGCCACAATTACGTAATCGTTCAACGCGGCAATTAATCGTTCAAAGTCCACTTATGTTATTCTGCGTGCTTAAGATGCGTTTTTTTCTTTCTACATGTTATCTTAAGGGTTTTTCCCATTATTTTAATTTTAGTTTTAGTATAACACTATAATACCATTTCTATTTGTACTTTTTTTATAATTTAAAGAAACCAATCCGATGTATA